TGGGTTTTGATCGTAGTATGGGAAGGCAGTCGTCTGTATAAGTTGACTTCATAGTTCGGATCGGGATTATGGAAGGATTGTCCGAATAGTTTGGGGAGTAGTAGGGAGCAATTTTGAGGACGAAATCTAATTTAAGTGGGGGAGATTTGTAGGAAATCATGTGCCACGACGAAGTTTTGGAGGAAATCTTGTGCCATAACCCTCAAGTTTTGGAGGAAATCATGCACTCGTGTTCCAGATTGGTTAAGCTTACTTTTATCAGGGACCAAGGATGAAGTTTTGGAGGAAATCATGTGCCATGACGTAGCCAAAGAGGGCCACGACGTGGCAATTGTTTAATGCATCACGTGTGTTATTGGATCGCTACGACGTGGCCAAAGGTTACCACGGTGTGGCAGCTGTTCTGGCCCAAACACATGTTTCTTTTAGGGTTTGCTTCGTATTTAAACCCCACTAAGTCAATTTTAGAGTTCCTTATCAGCCTCCATCACCCTTAAGTTTCAGAAACTCTAACCCTAACCCTCCTTTCAAGTGTGATCTCATTTTGGGAGTTTTTGGTTACATTTGAAGGGATAAGAAGCTTTAGGAAGGATCGTGGTGCATCTTGGCCAACTTGAGGATCTCTCTTGGATATCTCTGGATCTTGGTGAATGTTCAAGATCCTAGCTTTATGCTTCTATGTTTATGAATCTAAGTTTTTGTCCCCTTTTCTTCTTGTTGGGGCTAATTGGAATGGTAGGATTCCATAAATTTGGGAGTTTCATGGTGTTTTGGAGCTCATGTTTGAGTTTGGGCCCTTTTCTTCCACTTTTTGACCTAAAATGAAGGAGACATGCATATTACATGCATGTCTATAAAGCACTCGTCTTTGTGACCTTTGGAGGGAAGGAAAACCTTCTAGAGAAGTTGAGCTTTTGTCCTTAAGGATCTAGGACTTATTGGTTAAGATATGCTTCTTTTGGACTTTAAGAACCTAGTTTTAGTGATCTTGTCATGTGTCTTAAGGGGTAAAGTTGGAAACTTTATCTCTTGAGACTTTGGGAAGGTGTCGATCTGTGAGTTTGAGCCCTTGGAATGGAAAAGAAATGACTTAATCCGATTTAGTCATTCAGATCAGCCCCCACGACGTGGCACCAGGCCGTCACGTTATGGCGATTAGGGAATTCGCGACTGGTCGGGTTGAACTTGTGTGTCATGATGTGGCCAAGGGATGGCCACGACGTAGCAATTGGTTTTGAAGGATTATTGGGCCTTGGACATTGACCGTTGACCTTGAGAGGTGACTTTTTGACTTGGTTGACTTTAGGTATTTTTGTATGTTGGTAGACTAAGGATTTATCCTGCTTGGTTGTTTAGGTGGTGTTCGGCTCTCGATTCCGGTTTGTGAGAGCGGTTGACTTTTGTCTGCGATAGCGAGGTGAGTCTCCTCACAATATTTGCGGATCGAAGGCACCAATTCGGCCAATTGGTTATGTTTATAGTATGCTAGTTGGCCGTGTGACTCTTGCATGTGTGTATGTGGGCTAGGCTTAAAGGCATGTATGTGGGCTAGGCCTGAACTAGTATGGTATGACGTATTTTGGGGGAAATTCACTAAGTTTTGTGCTTACGGTTATATTTTTATGGTTTCAGGTACTTCCGGTTGCAAAAGGAAGGGTCCGACGTGACTACACAGCATCCCCCGACGTTTTCCACATTCACTATTAATGATTTTACTATGATGTTGAATGATTAAATCTATGTAACTAGTTTTGGAACAACTCAATTGTATGGTTTAAGTGTTTTAAAAATGAAAATTTTACTTTGAATGTTTGGGATGTTACAATAATTCACATATGTCATATCTACTTATCTAGCATTGGAGGTGGCACACACACGACTTCAATTATGTCCATTGAATTCATGAAATTTCTTAAATCGTCATGCATGTTAATCAAAACTCATGTATACACATAATGACCAATTATTGTATGTCCTTGATTTTTTTATAACTGAGGACCCCAATCGGTCCGTCTTTGACGACCTGACTAACACAACCTCGAGGCCCACACACGTCTGACAAAATATATGGTCTAGTTTAAACACTATGTGGGGGTAGAGAAGGGGCTAGTGGCCATCTCCTCATTGAAACCCTCCTAGGACTCGAGCTCATGACCTCCTATGGGGAAAAAGAAGTGTATCATTTGCTTTACCCATCAAGTCATCAGTGGATGGTTAATAACTTTATATTAATCTTAACTTTATATGTCCTCCACTTCTAAAAGCGATAACGAGATCTTTAAGGTATGCAAGTGGCCTCACAAATGTGTAAAGCGATATATGAAGTCCAAGATAGTGCTATGAACCATATTGCATATCCGACCTACAAGCATACAGTTTTAGATTGTACTGACAGATGTTACAAATATGACATCAAATTATTCAACGTTTACTTTAAGAAAAGCACAATTTCTCGAAAATCAGTTAAATCATGAGATTAAGTCTGAAGCAATGTTTCCAACAATATTGTTTCGTCTAATCTCACGGAGTGATATGAATCATGATTATTCATCTAGAGAAAACACAATTACACAACACTAAGACTTTATTCTAAACATTAGAATTGTTGCATGTCATGACTTTCAACAAATCAGGAATGTCCTATTATTGGTGTTATCCTCTTTTTTACCGTTGAAAGTTAATATGAGAATTTGTTGTTAAATTTAAAGGATGCATTTTGCAAAACGAGAATCATGATTAATATTTTATGAGATTGAAAGTAATTTTGTTGTAGCTTTTGAATATGAGGTTATGGAGAAATGAGAATGAATTTTTTTTAGGTTTCGCCATTTTTATTCATAATCGCCATGGAAGGATTACACGTTGCAATTCAGGGAGCATCTGATAGGTATCTTATTCAGGGGATCAAACTGCCACATAATGGTCTAACTATCTCACACCTGTTATACGCGGATGATGCCATATTTTCGGGCATTTGGGATCCGGGAAGCATAAAAAATCTCTCAAGGATTCTTAAATGTTTTGAGATATCCTCGGGGCTAAAGGTTAACTTTCACAAATCGCGATTGTTCGGTATTTGTGTCTCCGATTTTGATCTGCAAAGCATGGCACAGGTTCTTGGTTGCCTCAAAAGCTCTTTCCCTTTTAATTACCTCGGGGTACCAGTGGGTGCTAATATGTCGTTGAAAAACAATTGGAAACCGATAATTAGCAAAATTCAGACAAAATTATCAAATTGGAAAGCAAGTACTTTATCATTTGGGGGTAGACTGACATTAATCAAGGCAGTGTTAGGAAGCATTCCTACTTACTATCTATCTATATTCAGAGCTCCTCAAGGGGTATTGGATGATATGGAAAAGCTCAGAAGAAGTTTCTTATAGGGAAGCACAAATGAAAAAAAGAAATTGCATTAGGTGGATTGGTCTAAGGTGGTTGCGGATAAAAAAGATGGTGGATTAGGTGCCGGTACGTTAAAGACCCAAAATGTTGCTTTACTCACAAAGTGGTGGTGGAGACTCAAAAATGAAACAGGAAGTATTTGGACCAATGTCATAAACAGCATACACAATCTCAACAATAAGCCAGCCTCTTATCTTGCAAAGAAAAATACAACCGGAGTTTGGAGTAATATTGCAAAGGCTATCAGGAGTCTTAAATTACACAACATCGATCCACACGGCTTATTTTCCCTTGTACCCGGTGAGAATGTGAAATTTTTATTTTGGAAGGACACGTGGTGTGGAGATGTACCCTTACAGGAAAAATTCTCATCACTTTATAACCTTGAAATGGTAAAGAGATGCACACTATTGGATAGACTCTGCAGCTCAGGATTCTCCTGGAAATGGCACAACTTAAACTGGAACAATGATGCCCTTTCAGAACTTCATGAATTTTATAAGCTTGTAGGCTGTCTGAATCTTGGTATTTCCTCAAATGTTGGATTCCGATTTAATCTTAGCACAGATGGAACTTACGTAGTGAGTTCTTTGAGACTGATGATGGACTCAAAATCGAATCAATACTCAGGACCTTTGATTTGTTGGTCAAAAGTTATTCCCTTAAAGGTCAAATGTTTTGTATGGAGGGCGACTTTGGATAGAATACATGTTACTGAAGCACTGATCCTAAGGGGTATAATTGTCCAAAACAGAAATTGTCAGTTATGTGGAGGCACGGAAGTTGAAACTACAAATCACTTACTGATTGATTGTGAATTCTCAAAAGTTGTGTGCTATTGGATATTTCGGTGGTGCGGGATTAAACAACCACAATTTAGGAATGTAAGAGACTTTATAGACTTTGGAGCATCATGGGGGAATTGTTCCAGAAAAAGAAATATATTGACAATGATCCTTTATTCTACCATTTGGAACATCTGGGTTGCTAGGAATGATAAAGTATTCAAAAAGCTTGGAGTCAATCCAACAAAAACTGCAGACTGCATCATATCTCAAGCATTTTTTTTTTTTGGAAACGACAAATGAATTAACAGAGCCTACACGTACTTTTAAACGTGCACCCCAGGTTCGAGCTCCGCAAAGCGGACAAACCCAGCCCCTGACGGGATTTCTAGGGAAAATTCCCCCACAAGGAGCATCTAAAGAGGATTTATGGAGTCCCAAAGATTCGAACATCCAACCTCACCCCACTGTGGGTTATAAACCCGGTACATCACTACCAGCTAGGCTGGAGATCATTTGTATATCTCAAGCATTTGAATGGAATAAGTACAGGGGCAATGGTCTAGAGAGCTGGACGGACTGGAATGTGTCCCCTCTTTTATAGTTAATCTCTCTTCCTAAAAAAAAATGATAATCCTCTGTTGTATTATCTCTTGGATGTTTTTGTATGCTTCCTATTTGTTCTTCACCTTTCATAGCTACTTGCTACTGATTGGTTTTTTATCTTTTATATAATTATTCACTGGGTTCAAAAAAAAATAAAATGAATAAACTCACTTTGTAAATTACTCTAAAACCTTATTTCCTTTGTCTAAAGAGATCGTATATTCACCAACCCGTTCGACGAAATGCCTTCGTCCTTAACTCGAAGACTAATTGGTTTCCCTACCCTCACATCCTCTCGCAAACATTGTTCAGGGGCACACTCCAGAAGGGCGATGGTGACTCTAGTGGTGGCCACCACCCTTGACCCGGCCTCTATCGGCCCCGCCTCCGCCCTCTTAGCCATGCCGGGCTGGCACCCCGGCCCATTTCTTCAGGTTAACCTCCACCTCATCTTCGTTATTTGTTCTACTGTTTTCTGTTTAACACAATTACATGAAATCCACAAAGAAAATGAACCATACAAAATTACCTTTCGAACAAAATCCGCATACTTATCGATTTCCAATCTTAATCTGTGGTTTTGATGTTAAAGATTTGGTATAGGACATGGCAAGTTTTGTGAACAAATACGTAAGGTTATTGAAACACGATAACTCCAGTATTACAGAGGATCACCTGGACAAACGGTGGGAGGCTGCCACCGGAGAGGTTGTCGATGACGTTATATTTCTTAGCAGACACACGGCTGCCTCAAAGCGACCTGCACTAACCATTCACCCAATCGGTACATCTGTTATCTAATTTACCATTGAATCAATTCAAGAGTTGGGTGCATTAAATGTTAATCATGGAGTATATTATATTTATAGGCGTTCCTCATTTAAGAGAAGATGAGGTGCCACCAGCTGGTGGCAAACCTGGATGGGCTGCACCTCCTAATACCCGAATGGGGCCATGGTTGAGACTATTAAAGGTCATTGCTGAATCACACAATCTGACTCCTGAATTTGAGGTAGTACATATAATGCTAGAAATTACTTTTTATGAACTTGTATATTGTTGTTTATCTTCTTTTGTTTTTGGTATAGGTTACATTGGAGGCCACACATCATGGACCTGTAATTGATTCGCCCACCATGTTTGTGGAAATTGGTATGCAAAAGAAAATTGATCATTTGATCAAAGTCATTGGAAAAAGATTAATGCTACAGTTTTGATGTTTTTATTGTATTAGGTAGCACAGAAGAGTACTGGAAGAGGCAAGATGCAGCACAAGCTATTGCTCTAGTTCGGTATCTCTTTGAGCATAATCTTGACTTTGCTATATAATAATGTTGTTATATATTTGTAATACCCTTTTGAGTGTAAAAAAATATGCCTAATGAAGAATATTGTATGATTCTTTGTTTATAATTTTGCATTGAAGTTAGTTTGGAAAGGACTGGGGCTCGATGGAGGGGTTCCTGTTGGAGATTGGCATAGGTGATGATCATCTTGTCTTTAGTTTTTTCACAAAAGTTTGAAGTACACATTGGAACAAAATGTGCAACATTTCTTACTATTTTGCTTAAATTTGATGGTGTAGGAATAATGGAAAAGGCAAAATCCTTCTAGGGTTTGGTGGTGGACACTATGTCCCAAGGCATATGGATGTTGTTATGTAAGTTTACCCATACAAAGACTTAACAAGATAAGAAAAAAAAGTCCTTAAGTCATATCCTCGTTAAGTCCATTAAGTCAAAAAGAAACAACACCTAAGTGTCTTCTTTTTCAGGAAAAATGATATTTGGGTTGGGCACCTAATTTCGGGATATTCATTGCTAATGGAAGACAATGGAGATGCTGGAATAGGTGGAACATGGAGGGAAGCAATCAAAGTTGCATATCAAGTTACAAAAAAAGCCTTCCCAGGGGGTGAAGTTCTTGCTCATCTTGATCAAAAGTAAGTATTTTTCTTTAACAAGATTCCAAGTTAAGCTTTTTTTTGTCCACAAGTTTTATTTATTTGTATATCAAAGTTTGTTTGTTTTAGATACAATCAAAGATAGTTTAACTTGTCCTTAATCTGAATGCAGGAGCTTTAAAAGTTGGCAAAAAAATGCCATTTTGAGCTTCTTGAAAGAAGAGAATATAAACGTTGGCAAGCCTTCTGATTTTTGCTGATTGTTTCATGAAATTACAAAATCCATCAACATTGATGGTCTGATGGCATATTTATTCTTTGGGTACTTTACACCAAATTGTTACACATTGATTAATTCATATATTGGAAACTCGATATATTATTTTCTTGACTATTTGATTTCTTTATGAAGCTACAATCTTTCAATCAACTTCATCATAAAAAAACAAACATGTCATTCATAAGTGAACATATTATCTTAAACTGACATAGTAAAAACACTAAATTATGACAAAAACTGTATACACACATGTTAGTACATTCTCTTTTCATTGTTTACTCAGAGAATGAGAAAATTTAAGTATTGCAAATGGATATGAAATCCCAAGTCACACAACTTTTAAAAGAATAAGATTACACCAAAGGGTAGGTAGGGTTTGCATGATATGACATCCACCATAACAACACTCCAAATCGTTGACTTTCTCAAAAGTCAACTTCTTAGAACAAAAGATTGCAGATGCAACCTTGCATTGGCAGCCATGGAAATCGACTCTTCATCTTGCTTCTCTTTTGCAGAAGCAATTGAAGCCATGTAAGCTTCTTGTGCCTCTTCCATTTTGCTAATATCCATATCATCCTGAAAATTATCACACATCAATTTAGAAATATAAAAAAAAAAAAAATCCTGAAGAATGTATATATATCATGAAATAGCATTTTGCTTACTATTTCAGGAAGGTGGGCATCATCGGGTGTGATATCATCATAACCTTGGTCCGAAAGGGTATAATTGTCATTTGACAAGCTTTCGAATAACAGTGTATATGATGACATCTCTCCTTGAAACGCATTCAGATCTTTGTGGAGCTTTTCCACCTTGTTCTTGGAAGTTGTTGCTTCCCACTGTAACCTCTCTACAGCTGCTTGTTTATCAGCAAGTTTAATCTGTGTAAAAAGACGATTTTAACCCTGTAAACCTCTGATGAAGGAAATTTTGCAAATTTACCTTGAGATCGGCTAATTGTGCCTGAGTAGAGCGTAGTAACAAATCCTTTTCTGCCAACTGATTTTTCATTTGATCAAGTGTGTTATGAACAGAATTAATTTCATTTTTTGAAGCTTCTGCTGACTTCAAGATTTCATCTTTTTCCAACAACTGTTTTTGCAGATCCTCCACTTTCTCTCTCAATTCAGTCAACTCTTCCCTTTCCTTGGTCAAAATTGCATTTGAGGAAAACATGGAAAACCCATCAGCTCCTCCATCTTGTTCATTGCCACCACCATTTTCCCTGCGCTTTTTTCCAGGAATTGACTGAGCATTTCTACCTTTTGCATCAGTCATCTGGACAAAAAGTAAATCAAGAAACATAAGGAATTTTTTACTGCATTCCTATTGTTAAGCACTAAATGGGATAAAAATGGTATCGTTTAAGAAACTAAAAGAGTAAACCTTGCAACTTATGGAATTGACATAAATGAAGCCAAGAGTTATTCTATTTCTACATCCATATGACAAGAATTACCTTATAAGACATTGATTCTCTCGAAGGTGTCTTCGTGTAGATCATTGACCCCCTACGAGTGTATGAACTGGTTGCCTTTCGATCCTACAAAGATCAATATACCCCATTCGGAAATTAGAAGTTTGAACATTTGGGGAGAAAGCCAGTTCAGGAAAAACCTAATTGAATCCGAGTGTATATGACCACATAATAAATCAAAAGATGAAGAAACCCTAATTTAATCGAAATACATACGAAGACATCAGAAATCGAAAATTAAGAGAGGCATCTTGCGTTACTCGAAACGAATTTCAATAGAGGCCTAAAAATCGAAGTATTCATATACATGGATATGTAGTGTGTGTCAGTGAGTGAAAGAGAGCGACATACAATCAAAGACTGAACGAGTGGAACGATCTCGACAAGGTCATTGAAGAGAAGACGGTCGACATTTCCGGCGGCAGTAGTGGCGGTGGAATTTGAAAAGGCGGAAAGATTACGGCGGTGAGAAGGCGAAGAAGGTCGGAGATCTTCGCCGGAAAGCCATGAAGTTGGTTCTCCACCGCCAAAACCCAAATTAGCATTGTCCTGCTCCAAATCAAAGTGCTGAGATGACTGATGATACATTCCTGGATCTTCGTTTTCTTGAATTATGGCTTTCGAAATGAACCCAGAAACTGAAATTGAAACCCAAAAAAATCGATTTCGAAAAAGAAGAAGAAGAAAGCGTGAGGATTGGAAGAGGGTAAAAGAGGATGGGAGACTTTTGAAGGAAAATCAAAACCAACAATATTTCCTTTTCAAATTCAAAATTCTTATATCTAAATGGTAATTTTTAAAAGGGATATACGTAAGAAAATTTATTTACATTTTTTAGTTTTTACGGTTTATTTTTGTACACAACTTCTTAATTTGACCCTTTTACCAAGGTTGTCAATATCGGGATCCTACGAAGGATCGTTTTTGGGTTTGCAAGATCGGGATCGGGATCCTAAGATCCTACAAAATAAAACATAATTTTAGTTATAGAAACTTCAAAATATTAGTCATAAATCACAACACAAAATTATAAATGGTAAATAGGTAAAGGGTAAAAGACATAAATTGGTAAAAATAATTTTCATTTGCAAAAAAAAAAAAATAATAATAATAATAAATAAAAAAAAATCAAAAGAAGGTAGGATCGGATCGGATCTCGATCCTACGATCTTACGATCCTACCTGCGATCCTACCCCAAATACGATCCAGATCGTTTTTCATACTTAGGATCGTAAGATCGTACGATCCTACGATCAGGATCGCGATTTTGACAACCATGCCTTTTACTTTTTCTTTTCACCGATTGCTTCATTTTCATTAAAAAAAAATTACAAAACCCCTTAGGTTTGTAAAGTTTTTATATGTTTTTGTTTTCCAATTTTAACCTAAGTATTTTTTTTTCAAGTTTTTAATTTTAACCTAAGTAATTTTTTTTTTCAAGTTTTTTTTGTTTAATCTGACCAAATATTTTTTGATAATCCTTATAAAATGTCTATAACATATAAATGCTTATTTATGTTTTTACTCTTGTATTATGAATCACAATAAATGTATTAGTAATGACAATGTATTTCAGTATCAATGTTTTTAGGGATTGTTAAAAATACCGACTTATAAATTTGCAGTAAAAATTTAATCTTATTTCTAATGTACAATGATTCCTAACAGGGAAATATAGGTTTGGTCAATAGGAGATTAGGAGAGACATTTCCCAAGTATGGGTTGCATCTACCTCTTGGAAGATGTGTAAGGTAACAACCTCATCTTACCTTGGTGGTAAAAGTATAAGTTGATCAACAGATGAAAGGAAAAAAAAAACGAACAAAGGAAACAGGAGAATAACAATAACAAAAGAAACTTGAAACTATTTGGTTAACAAGGTTTTCTATTTTCTGGAAAAACGTGGTTCTTAATTAAATATAGAGAACTCACAATACCCTATTTATACTAGGTCTAAAAGAGTTTGACCCTAATACAAAAACTTTGAAAGAAAGTAAAAAAAAAACAAAACAAAACAAAACTTTCTAAAATACGGCTACACATAAAATCTAATTAACCTAACAATCACCCCTTAATCGGATTGTTCATACCACTCGTTCACAACAGTGTTCAATTACCTTCTTTTCGATCCATCTCAATTCTCGACTTTTCTCGGACCCGACCTCCACCTCGGTCACATCCAAAGTCTTCTCTCAATCCATTTTGATTATTCATAACACCTTTCACATGTAACATGGCATCCCATTGGACACGTTCATTACCATGTCGACTTTTTTCGGATTCACGACCATTCCCCGGCCACATCCAAAGCCACCTGATTTGAAATCCAATGTCATAATGTTCACATCGTGTTGTTTGTCCATTCCCTTCTTGTCTTGACAACCATACCTTTGCCGATCAATCATATTCCAAGAGATTTTTCCATCGAACGCCCTTGGTTCAACCTTCTCGCATATGTCGTGTGCATTCATAATCAACTTGACTTTGATTCCCCACGGATAATTCGTTGGAGTCAAAACCAGAACTTGAAACGACATCGAACATCCTTCTCTAACCATCGACATCCTATTCTTTATTTTGACAACCCCGACCTCTTTAATCAAACTTGTTCCGAGAGCACTTTTCCACCAAACAACAAGGCAAGATCATGACCACCTTTATCGTCTTCCGTCACCCGCAAAAACGAACGAATCAAAGCCACCCGCTTTGATGTCTTCCTGTCCGTTTATTCTGCGCCTCCAGTTAGTCTCTCGCTACCTTTAAACAAGCCTGATTAAGAGAAATCGGGGTTGCTTGCAACCAAAACCAAATCACACCCCCTTCAACGTAACTTGATTCTGTCACACCCCCGAACCAGACGGCGGAAACGTCCGAGGGCTCGTGTGACTTAAATTGAAATATCAT